ATCTTGCCCAACTCCCGAACCTGGCGAAGGGCACTCCGCAACTCGCCGAGGGTATTGGTCGACCTCGCTTTTCATAAGTTGGTTTCACAACCGGGTTATAAGGATTTAGAGGCAGCTTCTTGTCTCACCGAAAGGGTTGCATACGGTGGCTCATAAGGCTTTGTATATAGGGTTCCGAAGAGCAGGTGGAAATCTAGGTGCTTCCTTGCTTCAGAGCTCTGCTCTGAACTAAGACTAGGATCTCTGATTGTGGAACACCTCTAGCTAGCTTAACGAATGAACAGGGGCTTGTCTGAATTTTGCGGGTTGTTTCAAACTGAGTTGGAGCTTGGCATTTCCGTTTTGGGGGCCTGCTGGGCTCGTTCAAACCGTGCATGCGATAAGATCCGGTATCTTCGGCGATTGCACCCTTTGAGGTTCGAGGTTCGAGGTCTAGTCGAACCATGGTCAATACATTTATCATGTTGGGGTCACGGGATTCGCATGCATAATCAAGTCCGTGCATGCAATACCAGACTATACCAGTCTTCATAATGATGTACCAGTTTGTTTAGATTCACAGCATTCGACCTTTCTCACGGTACGAACCTCTAGCTGACTACTCAAGCTTCGTATATCTCAAAATTCATCATTCATCAATGGGCCTCTGTTTGTGTAGTACCTGCTGAGCTGAAGCTGAACCGAGCGGCTCGAAGCAGGTGAAGACAATGTTGCGGCCCCATTGCGGGCAAAGGAGCTGCAACCTCGCCGGCACGTTCTGCAAGCTGAGCCGCACTAAGAACCTGAAGCGATTGGCCATGAGGCCATCACCATAAATACAACACAAGACTTGGGAGACCCGGCCGCACCCTGCGCGATGCAGCCGCAGCTGCTGCGCGCGGCGGCGCGAGGGGCTGTGGCGCGGGAGTGGTCTGGGCCGCCGGCCTCAGAGATGACACGGTGATGAAATGTTAAGGCTGCCAAGCGTGAGGATGAAAGCGATGATAACGCCAGTGGTCGTAATGATGATCAAGAGATATAGGATGCAGAAGGGATGTCGTCGCTATGATTCTTGGTCGTGGTGCTGGTGGTGGTGATGCATGCATCTTGATGATCATGATGATGTATCACAAGCATTCTCATCATCGCTACCACCACAATCATAACTTTATCACCATCATTATCATCATCGTTGGCATCCTTGTTGTCGTTATCACCAGGAACACCAGCGTCTGTAATGGCGGATCCATGGGCCACCGGGCACAGGGGGCTCCATTCTGGCCCGACGATCTGCTTCGGCCTTGGAGATCACACGAACGTATCACGCCGACCCACGAACCTGACACAGCCTACGGAAGTTATCTAAAAAGGAGATGTGGGCTTACGATGGGGCTCGGTTCTCGAGCTCTCCGTACAAAGGAGTCTGCTCTCTCTGGTTCTCAGGACCAAGGTGAAACACCTGAGCTGCTCAATCCCTGAAATGAACAAGCGCAGTGATCGAGCCAGCACTTGCCTTGGCAACAAGGAACTCGGATTCCAGCCTGCGCCAATATCCGCTGTTTTTCTTCCTCCTGCAACAGCAACGGATGGTCTTTCGGAAGTGCTGGCGAGATCTTCTGCTCGGGTTGGAAGCGCCATGACTGGAGACTGGAACCAAGACTTGTCAACCACGTAAATACTCAGTCCCGCTTTCTGGGTGAAGAGCTTTGTGAACCGCAGGCAAGAGGCATCGATACAAACAAACCCACGGCACCTAGAGGTAGTGCATGCTCGCACCGCTGGCATGAACGAAGCTTTGACACAGGCTTGCAAAAGTCCTGCTATAAGCCCTACCACGAAGCCAAAGCCGTCAGGCTTGCCCTGCATACTTCCTTGACGTGTGGACAGGCTCGCCCCTGAACCCTTTTCAACTGCGATGTTGAGGCAAACATGCCGAACATGGACTCCTTCTTCTGACGCTTCGAAGCCATCTCCTCCTGCGCGAACCGTTAGTGCTTCTAGCACACTCCTTCTCGTGTTCAGGGGGGAGGGTTGGCAGGGTTTCCATTTAGGGGGTCACGGGAGAATATAGAAGTACCTTATGTCTCTGAGCTCGCCATGTGTCGGGCTGGCTGGTGAGGTTCCGGCCCGGCAAAGTCTGATGATGCCGCTGCGAACTTTTTTTTCCGGGGTCTGTATACACCAATTAACAATGAACGCGCCAGACCAATCGAAACTCTGATGGAAGCTGCTCCGAACCCTTTTTCCAAAATGGTCACGAAAGCCCCAAGCCTCCCGAGCTTTGCGTTCGGCGGCGGAGAGGCCTGCAGCAGTTGACAGCTGTGCACTTTGGGGCAGGGAGGCAGGGCAGCCGGATGACTCTGAAATTTACGGAAAACAGCGCCACCAGGCCAGCAAGGAATGTGCCTGTAACCCTATGGGGCAGCTGCAGTGGAAATAAACGCTAAGCTGTGTGTTACTCCCTCGGTAATTTTGACAGCAGGCATGACCCCAGGTTTTGCTGCTGCACGCACAAAAAGACCTCATTCTCACTCCACAACGCCAGTCCTATCTCGAGAACTCCTATCTCCAAACCAGCGGCAGGGCCTGCCGAGGCAGCTGCGGGCTTTATCACCGGCGCGGGTGCCACAGAGGCCTCAGCCTGAGAAGAATGGAAATCAGATCCTTTTATCATCCTGAACTCCTCGGTCATAGCTTACGCCCGCTAAATGGTCTATTCGCCCTAAACATGACTCTGGTATCATGAATGACGCAGCAGCCCGTGTTGGGTGCTGGTCATACGCCGGCTAAATGGTCATATGCCTCCAGAGCACCATCGACCCTCAAACTCGAAAATCCCTTGACAGGCACCTAGAGTTCCAGAACAGCTTTGTGCACTTCGGCCATTGGCTTTCAAATGGCTCTGAGCTCCTCGGTCCCGGGCTTCAGCTGAGACTTAGGAAGGCTTCGAGTTGCAAGCCGCTGTCTATCGTACTGTTTTTTTGCCAGCCTTCGTATCTTCATAACTATTCCTACTATACAGATACGAATAAGACCTTCGTCGGTCTTACTTTATGTCCTCCTGCTGTTGCTATTGTTGCTAGCAGCACAATATTGTATCGATTTGTTGTCTGCTTCAATATTACTAGGATCACTATGTGTACCGTTGTTCATGTTGTCATGATGATTTTTATGACTGCAATGATGGCGATGTTGTCCTAATCGCGATTGTTATTGTCCTGGTGTGATACTAGCTTACAGCATGATTGTTGTGATGACGATGATGATGATGATAACGACAATGGTAACTAATGGTTGCTACCAATATGACTACCGCTACCGTCTTCAGTATTGTGTTTGGAGCGACATGTAGGGCCATCAGGTCGGAAGCTTCAGCTTTCACACATGCTCAGGACTTGCGACTTGCGGGTGCTGCACAAGAGGGCATGTTTTGCTGCCATGTCGAAGAGCTCAACGTTGTTCGGGGTGCTGAAGTCATGCAGTGTCACTTATCGGAGAGTCCATCAGGATTTTCGAGTGCGGGTAGCTTGAACCCTACTTCCGTATACAGCTTACTCATCTCAGCCCTTCTAGCTTTTCTGTCATTCTGCCTGACTCTCTCTCTCCCTCTCTCTCCATAATCTCGCTCTCCCTCTTTTCCTCTTCTTCTGCCGTGAAACCGCCAGCTGTAGCAAGGGGCAGGGCCACAACTAGGGGTTGGTCTTCAGGCGTGGGGATTCCACAAGCTCCAGGCCTTTGCACGAGCACCCTCCTGTGCAGCAGCATTGAGGTGAAGTACCTCTCAGGGTTTAGCGAGCTGTTGGAGCCACGAAAGCGGAAGACAACAAAGATGTGCAGAATCCTATGCAGCCTGCTAGCCGGAACACCGAACGCCGAAAGCAGAAAATCACGAGGGCTGCAGTGCTATCAAAACCGCATAACTTCCTAAGACGGCCATGCACCGGCCTTATATACGAAAAGCCCACGACCCAGGTGTGATCCCGCAAAGGAGGGCACCGGTGTCGGTGTCTCAGTCGGCACACGTGGATTGCCGCAGGCGCTGCAACTGCACAAACAGGGCACTTAGGGCTTCTGCGTATGTAGGTTTACGGCCTTAAGGTGCCTTTGGGTTTAAAGCAAGTTGGGGGCTTTAAGAGATTGTCTATGGCTGTTGCGGCCTTTGAGCTTTAGGGCGAGGTGAGACAATGATGCTGCTGATTGCATCGGTTTGGCTGCTTCATTACAGAAACAGACAGCGATTGCATAAATGAAGCAGACATCAACTCTGAACCGCCGGTCTCTGCGTACCTGATTGCTCCTGGCGGATTGAGCAACCTCAAGGGTTCGGACACTTAAGCAGGAAGGAAACGCTTTTTTGAGCATCTGTACGGCATCTCGCTTTGCTTGCTTCGTCATAATTAGCAGACCACGGAATGCAAGACAGCATGTTTCCATGTAGACACGACTGCGCAGGTGTGTTGATTTGCTTGGCTCGCGACGTGCAGAAGCTGCAGTTCCACGGTAGCGCGGCCATGTCTATGCAATGCTAGCACCAGCAGCAGATCCCGTCGAAAGTGCTTCTGCATTGCTACAGCTACTTCAGCATAGCTGTAGCTCTAGATGCATGAGTAGCAATGCGTTGTTCCTGATGCTTACTATAATCACTCTGCTGCCAGCTACATAGCTGTGCAAGTGCCAGCATCTTAGTAGTGGTGGAGCTGTTAGTTGTTGCGTGCTGCTAGTGCTGCTTGAACAAGCTGAGGCCATCGGCAGTGAGAGCTGCTTAGACACCAGTGCACTCAGAATGAAGCTACCTAGGAAGAAGCTACGGCCCATCGTCACCCGCATGTGCGCGGGACAGCTACGGACCTTCAACACCAGAACAAATCAGCCCGAAACCGACTTCTACTGAGTCAGTTTCAGGCTTGTCATTCTGCGTCTCGCATGGTCACGCCAGAAAGATTGCCCTCGAAAGGCCCCATCGAAGCCACGACAGTGACAGCAGCACCTGACCCTTGGGGCAAACGGGGACGGGAGGTAACCTGCACAGTGATCCAGGTGGAGGTGGCCAGCTGAAAGGCGTGCAAAGATCCTGGCTGAACCTGGGCAAAATGCTGCCGCAAAAAGGCGCCAGTTAACCTATATTCTATATTCTACCGGCATTTCACGATGGTATCAATGAGACTGTCGTTGGTGGCAATCCACTACTCAGCTGCTCGATTAGGCGTGCCTTCTGGGGTTCCATGGGTCGCACAGAGTGAGACGACGCGGACACCAAAAACAAGACACAAACCTCGGTAGCACTTGCGGCGTCAATAACCAAAGCAGGCACTTCCGAAACATGAGTAGAACACCACCCAACTGGTTCTGGCTCCACATCTCCAAATTCCCATACACCCGACAGCCCAAGCCCTGCAACCTCAAACCGCAAGCAGAAATCGCAAAGCGCTTCGAGGCTGGGTCTCCCAGCAGGTGCCCCAGAGGCCGATGTTGAGCCGCCAAAGACGAAAATCTGGTTGTCAGGGCCATGGATCATCTTGTGCCCAAACCTGCCAAGGTGCTGGGCTGGGGATTGGGGTCCGTTCTTGGGGTTTGCATGCATGCCCGGCGCCATGCGCCTTTTCTTTAGAAAGACACGCGAGATGGGGCTGTGCGATCCCGATTCCAACCACCTTCAGCTTCCCAAAACCTGCGGTGCCAAGTGGGCACGTAGACGTTGCTCTCTGAGGCAGGACAGAGGCATATTTCTTTGTCAGTTCGATCTTCTCATCTTGGTCGTAGAGGCTTGGAGAACCGCTTGAGACAGCTTTGAAAGATTCATCAGCTACAACATGGCCCCTTTGTATTGTACTTCGGAGCCATTCGGAGACTCTGATTTGGGCCGGATCTAACTATAGTCGTCCCAGCTGGTAGACAAGGATCAAACTGCTTAAACTCAAGAGCTGCTGACCGACCCGCTCCAACGAAAACCTCGAACTTGAAGAATGCAAACTCGTCTTCTGATGCAGCAGCATGCCTGGGCGCTGGCGCCTCTCCAAACACCTCTCACAGGACACATGCCAGCCGTGCTGTTCTGCCTAGCTGCATGTAGATCCTTGCGGATGGCGTGGCGACGGCACTTGCTGAGACCAACAGCAGGACGTATCAGTGCTTTATAGATTGTAATCAAACTAGCAAGGCCCCGAAATAAAACCTAGCAGGATCACGGTTGTGTTTGGGTGCCTGCCGCTCAGCATTGCACCACTGCGGAAAGGTTTACAAATATTCAGCAGGAAATCAACATCGTGTCCTGGTGTGACGGTCCCGTGAGTAAGATGCGCAAGACACTATCCTGGCCATGCAATCTCGCGCGCTACATGTGGACTCTGAATCGAAAAGTCCACAGAGACCAACCAAAACGACTGAACGACGACAGCATCTTCTCCGCGCACGTAGTTCCAGCCTGGGGTGTCGTCCAGGAGCTACTTCGCAGATCAAGCCTAAGCGAGGCATGGTCGTGGCTTCTCATATGGATCAGTAGCAGCCGAACGACTGAATTGGGTGAAGCGATTGCAAGAGTCTCGAAGGTAAGTGCAACGACATGTAACGACTTATCGTCATAGCTGTCGTGAATCTCGAAGACATCTCGGGCAATGTGCTAAAGGACAGTCAGTCGCAGGCAAATCATGCATGCTTGGTTTGTGGTGGAAAGGCAACTGCATATCATGGTCGACCGGCACTGAACAAGTATGTCTGCATGTGCCAATGACGAGCTGGGTCCTTTTCTCGCTTAAACGCACCGCAAGCTTAGTAACACCTTTCAAGGTACATTACTGTAGCATAGAAATCAAGTGCTTGCCGGATGGCCCGGCCCCCGGGCAGACGAGTCAGTTATAAGCTTCTGTTGGCAGAACTTCTGGGGGCCATCCCTCCTTGTCAAAGTTTCAGCAATGCCCGCCCCCATTTTGAAAGTGCAGCGGAACAATGCAGCACACCCCATTAGGAATCTAGGTTAGTGATTGGGCATGAACCCCGAGTCCTCACCAAGAACAAGCCTTTCAAAGGACAAACGGTGAAGCCTCCACTGCTTGATTGCAGGGGCCCAGCAAGTGAATGTCATTCAAGGGTTCGCTGTAGTCCACGGCGCTATTGCCACCTCGCCAAACCGCCGCTCCATGTCGATAGGTGCAAGCTGTTCCCACTGCCACAGAAAGCACCTACGATACACAGAGCCGGTACCTCAGCTTGTTGAACCAACAAACACGAGATGTCTTGGCTCAAAGTGCAGGCGTGGCGAAATGAATATATTTCTTAGTCTCTCAAGCTGGAAACTCCGTATTTCAGACTCTGGCCTCGGAACACCCTTGTCGCTTTGGGCCTCCTGACTGCTGAAGCCTTGTAAACTTCTTGAACGATGCAAGGATTACGAGCCTTGTACATCTAATCAGCCTGACATGTTATACCCAAAACGACCTCGTGCAGCACCGACAAAAACTGCAAAATCCTATATGCTGGGCCCCGGCAGATTCAGCTCCCTGAACCCACAAAACCCCTAAATCCCTGCAAACCCTAAACCAGAAATGCTAAACCCAAAATTTCAAAACCTTAAACCCAAAACCAGAAACCCTAAACCCTAAACCAGAAACCCTAAACCCTAAACCCAAAACCCTATAAACCTAAACCCTAAACCCAAAACCAGAAACCCTAAACCCCCAAAAAAGCGGCAGAGGTCCAAGGAAAGAGCCGAAGACGACGTAGACGTCGTTTGCCACGCAGGCACTGTGGAAGCTTCGAGCACTGGGCCTCAGGGGCATCCCTGGCTTCTGCAAAGGACTACTTAAAGGGTCATGGGACTTAGTAACTAGGGTTAAGTCCCATGATCCTCCAAGTACTGTAACGTTGGGGCCTTAATAAGTAGAACAGGGTGTTGGGGCCCATTATACCATATTTATAGTAGGAACCCCCAAATTTAAAATAGTATAGGTACTTATTAACGCCCCTATATATTGCAATACTAAGTTTGCTTACCCTTTTTGTCTTGCTGGGGCCCTGAACCCTCCAAAACCTAGACCGTTTGGGCAATGGAGCCTGGGAGTGATATGATCTCGTGGGCATTCGGCCTCGCAAACCCTGGACTATTCAGCAGCGGATATATCATCAAGCTTCGGAGATCTTTCGAAGCCAGCAATTAACAGTCTTACATAATCGCTGCTTTGACTCTTGCTAGGCTCTCTTCTTCAGCTCTCTGTTCTCTGGTCGTCTCTCTCTCCTGCTCCATCTCCCTGTCGCTCTTATGCCAGCCGCCAGCTCTCTTCCGCAAAGCTGTGTCGAGCTGGTTCAAAACACTGAGGAACTCTGAGCCTGTGGCGGAGTTCCACCGGCGCTCACGGCCTGTCGCGGCTTGCGGCTGCGCAAAACTACAGGGTCGGCAGGGGTCTCAAATTCGGGTTGGTCGGGAGCAGCGTCGATTCACATATTGTCAGGGAACTTGATGCCCGATGCACCCCTTCCAAAAGAACTTGGCAAAGCAAAAACTTGGAGGTGATGTGTCTGTTCCCGTTCCCCTTCCTCCTACGAAGCCCCTCAAGAAACTTGTCCCTGAAAGACGCGCCTCCCACTTCAGGCTTTGTGTCCTTGGCAAACAGAGCTCTGTAACTGGGACAGTTGAGCCTGTCTCCGTAAGTCCATGTACCCGAGCTCTATATACCTTGACTCCAATGTAGTCCAATGTCTTAGCGGTATGAGGAGTACTGCCTCCATAGGGTGCTATAGCCTCTGCAAACGTATATCACCGAGGAGTGAACCTAGCAAACGCCAACCTCAACAGACCTCAACAATCCAAAAGACCAGAGGCGTACTGTGGGTACATGGACCCTGAGGGTTTGGAGACTTGAGGCCAGAACTCCTTGCTGTTGCACAAGTACTGTTACCGCATTGTCCAGCAAGGCTGGCAGGCCAAAAAGCAGTCTGCTTCCGTGCATGGCACTCATTATTAAATACGTATAGTACAGCAGTACTGGTGGACGCAAGGCATAAACTGTGAACAGTCTTCACCCTAGTCAGTCAACCTCAGATCCAATTCTTAAGACCCTAAGCGCCCTTCTCAACTCCAGCAGCACGTCTTCCACAATCCAACGGAATCTCGACGCACCGAACTCTGCAAGCTCTCATCCCTCAGACTTTCGGAACCCCAAACACCAAACCCTAATGAAACCCCGAACCTCTTGAACCGCTAAAACCAGAAAAAATCCTGAAGTCCAATGACAAAGAACAACACCCAGGATCCATGTCCCATAACCATAAACTGCTAAACTCCTCGACCCCCAGAAGGTCTCTTAGGGCACCCTTCAAGGAACCCTTCGAGGAGCTCTCACAGATCCCTTGAGCTGAGACCTGGACTGCAGCTTGTGGAGGCTATTCGAGGGTGACCCGCTGTGGCTGAATCTGCCGGCCCTGAGGTGCGAAGCAATGCTCTCGTAGGGTCTCGGGGTGGTTTGAGGCTCAAGGCTTTTTGTTGATGAAATTTAAATTTAGCGTAGCGTTTAGGGGTATAGGGGTTGAGGGCTTAGGGCCGAGTGTCTTGGGCTTAGGGAGTCCTTCTTCTTCGGGCTCAGCACAAGTTGGCGTTGAGTAATTGCCAATGGGCTTCTGCGTTTTCGGCTTGGGGTTTCAGAGCTCGTTCATTTGAGAGACTGGGGCTGAGGATCTGAGGGGCTCAGGAATTTGCTTAGATTTTTGTTTGCAACTCGGGATTTACAGTAAGCTGAGAAGCAGTTAGGCTTTCGTCCTCTGGTGCAGAGGTTAAGGCTAAGGGATCGACCGTCGAGCTGCGTCAGGGCTAGCATAGAGGGCCTAGATATATGAACCATGACACCCACCCTCTCGGGACCGTCACGACAGGAAACATCAGAAGCCTCACAGCTGTAAGGGCTGGGGGTGGCTACTCAGCACTCGTTCGCCTTACTCATGGGGGCTTCGTGTTGAAGCGACGCAAGAACCACCCAGCTGCATTCGAGGCCAGTGTTCGATGCATGCCCCCTGAATCCTCGAATGCCTAGCTGCTTTGCTACATTACATGTGGCAGCGAGCCGACACACAAGTCAAGTTTGCAGATATCACAACGTATATGGCAAACAGAGTTCGACTGTTTGGGCTTTGCGGTAGTGACTGCGGGAAGTGTCAGAAGCACCTCAGACCAATCGGGATCAAGCGGTTGAGGGTTTTTCAGCCGAATGTGCTCTCGCGATGTCTCCAGACTCGAAGAAGCCGTAGACCCTAAACAAACCCCTTAGCCTAAACACAGGCCCCTTTGGGCAACGTCGAGTCCCAGGCAGAAAGGGTGGCTGCACGGGACCCCTGGACCAAAGAAGGATTGGCACCGGATGGGTTGCGGGCTTGACGCCTCCCCTGAAAGTCGTGCACTCGGCTAAGCGGTAAACACATGGTCGACTGGCATGCTCGCATCATGCTGCGGGTGTGTTGGCCTATAAAGGCATAAGTGGAGCTAGATGCATAATAACTTTAGCTTCATACTTGGCACAGCATGTAGCAGAGAATCTCTTCAGGCGCAGAGCCATCGCCCTGCAAGCGAGTCTCGATGAGTGACTCATGAACCCCGTCCGGAACGGCCCGCTCTCCAAGACGAAAGTCTTCCACTACTCCGCAGATACGAGAACACATCAGCGCGACAAAGCTCAATGCCCAACACGCGCCTGCTGCCGTCGTCCGAAAGGAGCGCGCTCTCCTCCGTCAGGTTCTTGTGTCGGGACGGCTTTCGGGCTCAGGGTTCGATCAGGGCATGTCCAGTTGCTAGGGTACAGAAGTTGCGAATTTGCTGCCGCTGCCCTTAGCCGTAAGACCTAGGAAAGGCTGTCTCAGCCTCGGCAGCGATGCCGCCGAAGACGACGAGTTCCTGGCTTGGCTTTGCTTGGCCGCTTGGATCTAACTTGCAGGATAATGGATATGGCACTACCCCGGACAGAAACAACGGCCATTCCTGCCATGATAAGTCTGCAGCACTATAGCCCATAGCAAAAGCAGCAAGTAGTGCAGGTAGCGATCCAACAGTAGCTCCCACAATGCCGACGTACGCTGGCCGTGCAGGTCCGGACTTTGCACTGTGTTGCTATTCTTAGGGAGGTGGAGCAGGTATGACAAGTACCGGTCCTGTTAAAGTCAATGCTTGCAAAGCCAGTACGCAGCGGTCGACTGTGTCTCGCAGCAGCATTGTACAACTGCGAGCAGCCGTTGTTGCACGAACTTGGCCCAACAGGCTTCCCAATGCAAATCTTGTGCATCATCTGCTGCATCGGCAGTCGTCAAGACCACATCCATCCAAGCTCCCACATGACAGTGAACCCGCAAGCATCTGCTCCAGGGAACACGTCGGGGCATTTAACCAAGAAGCCATATCTCTTTCATGGTCCAGCTTGTGGCCTTGGCGAGTGAACCCGAAGAGTCCTTGATGCCGCGCCAAGACTTTAGCCGATCTACATAGCACTACTGCACTGAAATGATATAGCTGCTGAAAACATGACATCTCCCAAACCGGTGATACCGAACTGAAGCAACTGCCCAGCACGGATGGCATCGTCGTCATCGCTGTGGACACAGCAATAACGCGACAGCTTTAACACCTACACCAGCACCAATAGACACAGCCAGAAGCAGGACCGTGACGATGAGATGACGATGATGATGGAGGCTTGGGGATGAAGATGAACAGTTAGGTGTTGATCTACCACACACCAGCACTGCGAGATGACGACTACACTGTCACATCTAAGCCGCTACGCCGACTCCTATTGCAATGAATAACTGCAGCGGCTACGACGACCCACACTTTCTGTAGGAAACCAGGTAAACACGCTCGTTCACACGCCGCAACCTCGAAGGCCCTTGCAGCGATCAAGATCATACCCGTGACGATTTCAATCTCTGCCCATGGCCAGACTTTGGATCCCAAGCTCACATCAATACCTAAACCTTAACACTCGAAAAGGGTGCGACCTTGTGAGTTGAAGATCCTGAAGCGCGAAACACCAGGACGAGCCAAACCCAAGACAATGAGCGTGCAACTCTCTAGCCGGCCTAAAACTTAGACATTTTCGGCACCCGTCCCTGCAAAAGCGAGTCGTTTGGGCCGTATCGTAGCCTGCAACGGTGTGCCCCCACCGCGGTGCTGGTGCTGCACCTCTCAGCCGGGGCTTTCAGAATATTGCTTCGGTAGAAGAAGTTCGTAAGGCTCAACTAAACGTAATCCATTCGCGATGGAGGGCCTTTCGCAGGGTCCTCTCAGGGGGTATTGAGTCAGTCTGGACCCAACATGAACGCATGTTTTGCATAGCTCCTACCACGGCGAAGCTTGCACCTGCAAAAATGGACGCCTCGCGCTTTTTCAATCCTCGAGGGCAATCCACCAGCGAGCCAAAATGCCCGCAACGAGCTGCAAGGTTTACGGCTCAAGAGGATACTAGCTCCTGCCCAGTGCCTTGCAAGTTGAGGGTTTGCAGGGGCTTCGCTACCTTACAGGGGCTGGAGACAATTCTCAACTTCGAAACACAAAACATACAAAGTCAGCTGTGCATTGAGCCACGACGACTCCAATCACTTATGCCTCATGCATAGTAAGCTTGTGATACCGAGGCGGTAGAACGTACAGCAGTCTCCTCCCCATATATATGTGTCTCTCCATGCCTTCAATCTCAGTCTCAAACTCGATCCCAAGCTCAATAATCTCACTCCAAACACTTATGCCTCATGCATAGTATGCTTGAACTGATACCGAGGCCGCAGAACGTGCAGCAGTCTCCTCCCCATATATGTGCATCTCTCTATCCCTCTTTCCCAGTCTTAACCTCAATCTCAGTCTCAGTCTCCATCTCAGCCCCATTCTCAACAATCTATCTCTCGCCCTCTCTCGCCGTGTCCGCCTGTCCATGTATAGAATATCAGTGCGCGTAGCGGTCAAACAGAAGTCTTAAGAAGGCCGCACAGAAAGCTCTCCCTTGCCGATATCTTACTTGGGGCAGGTATACATGTTGCACTAAAATGCCCATATCGCATTGAGCCTTATCATACGAGATGCACATATGAATGGAATGAGTTGCGTAGGAGTTCCCGAAAAAATTCGAGAACCATCTTTTGCAAATCATGGAGCTAAACTGCGCTAGAGTACTGCGCTTGGTCACTCAACTAATCAAGACCACACCAGGTCAGGTCTGGCATCCGGCTTCGGGCACACTGTACATCGGACACGAGCGACAAAATGCGCCCGGCTTCAAACGGAGCTTGCTATGTGGGTCTGTCTTCTGCTGTCCCAAGATCTGCGAGGGCTTCTGCCACAGATCAGCAAAATCGAGCGTGTAGGGCCCCGCTCAGCAAAGCTGGGTCAAAGCCAAATGCCACCCTCATTTCTGTTCCTAGTGACATGTTGGGCGTATTGGGTGTTTTCTGACAGCACAGTGACCGCCACAACAACAACAACAACAAGCGCTACTGCTACCCACTACCGCCACCTGCGCCACTACCGCAACCACAAGAAAAAGAGCAGCCACGACAACAACAGCAGCTGCAGCTGCAACAACAACACCAAGGACAACAACGAGGTACACCCGTACACTGTGTACTCGTATCCCAACAACAACACAACCAACAACCGCAACAATAGCAATATCCACAACCAAACCGCCAACCACAACAACAGCAGCAGCAACCACAACAACCACCACGACCACCAGCAGCAACAACAACTACTAATAATACTGCTACTGCTGCTGCTACTGCTACAGCTACAACAACTACTACAACTACACCTACAACCACTACAACAACTACAACCAACAACTGCAACTGCAATTACAACAACCGCTCCCACTCCCACTCCCACTACGACGACTATACGACTACCACGACGACGACGTACTACTACTACTACTACTACTACTACTGCTACTACTACTGCTACTGCTACGACTATTACTACAGGCGCAAGGTGCTACTGAAGGTTCACCTAAGCCTGCGTTGTTGGCCCACATATACTAAGCGAATATCTGCTCGTCAACGCCCGCTACAGTAGAGCATGCTCGTAAGTCTGCCGGGCCTTTGAATCTGTGAACACACGGCTTCACGGCAGCAATGTGCATCAACAGTCAGCAGTAGAAAGGAAATCGTTCACTTTATCTACGCCATAGGAAAAGCTTGTAGAAACTTGCAAAAGCCCTGCTTGCCTTGTGAGCTCACCCTGACTGGGAACGGAAATGCTAGTAGAGTAGCTAAGTAGCGCGCGATCAGTGCAGACAAAGTCGACGGATTGTCAGCGAAAGTCAGATGTAAACCAGAAGCTGGTCGGCGCCCTGCGATTGTGTGTGCGAAAGGGGCTCAGCTGTCCAGACCTCGGTCGGCGTGTCCATGAACTGAAGGAGCAGGGGTGTCTCCGACTGTCTTACTGGGTGGCATTCCAGGAATATCTGGTGATGTAGCGGCGCTAGATGTGGCGGGCTGTGGCCAGTAAGTTGATCAGTGAAAATTCTCTCCGATGCCGCAAGTTGACGCAAGTGTCGAGGGGCTTGCACTTGAAGGATAGGTGCAAAACAATCTGGCTTACGACGACCAGTGAGGTCGCGTACCTCGGTTGTGCCATACTGAGGGCGCATCCCGCATCCGTTGCTGCCTCGTCCATGACGGCAGCCAGAGCAAAATCCTTGAAGCACGCAGAAACTGCGTTTCACCAAAAGGTTAATCACTCGGGTGACGCAGAAACTTCGCTTCATAGAACGGATCATCACTCGGGTGTAGTCAAGGTTCAACCGGAAAGCTCACCAAAACAAACAAACAATACTTCTTCATCGACCTAAAGCTGCAATGGAACAGCTGGATAAACCAATTATGAACCCTTGGTCTCTTACGGTGGCTACCAGTAGTTCCTGCATGCGCGGTTGGTAAAGTTGATAGAAACTACGGAGTTCCGAGATGCCGTCCGATCTCACATCTTGCCACTGGCCGAAGCCACGTTGTCCCGACGGCCCAATTAATTACAGCAGAGCTTTTCTGACGAGAAGCCTTTTGGGTCAAGCCCTGTGCATCGTGTGTCCACAGCTTGACATCGACTGTGGAATACCTCAGCTTCGCGGCTTCATGTTTAAGAGCTTAAGACTGAGTGTAGACGGCCCGACCCGACCCGAGGTTCCAAACATCTCAGACACTCGCACAGACAGCCGACTGACCAGCTTGCCACAGCCAAGCAGCACGTTGCTCCAATTCGGGTGGTGATCTGCCTGGCTAAGAATATTGTGCGCGACGCCGCACATAGCATAATGTGGAGACCATCGCGACTTGAGGTGACTTCAAGAGACGTGATTCATTTCCGCCGAAGCCCGCACACCGCTCCTGCGTCTGTTATCGCTATGTTTAAGCTGCGACAATACGAGTCATCAGGAACATGTTTGCGCGTGGCTTTGTGAACGAGCCAACAGCTAGATACTTGTTGAGAACTGATCAAGCAGTCGATACGTGTAGTCATGTGCGCTGCATGCTGTTCTGGAATATTGTTGCATACACGAATACATGGAACCCGACCTTGTCGGCTGCAATCGCCACACGCGACATGAACCTGGAGAGCCAACAGCCAACTTGCTTTGGCTTCGCCCCCGTAGCAAACCTTCTGACCGTGACGTCATCCACCCTGTTTATCTTCCCAATCCCCACAAATGGTGCTGTCAGTTCCGGTATGTAAAGCCGCTGCCAAAAAACTGACCTCGTCCCAATTGCGTGCGTGTTTGTGTGTGTGTGTGTGTGTGTGTGTGCGTCAGTGTGTATTTTAAGTGTGTATGTATGTATATATATATATATATATTACAAATAAGTATGTGTTTAAATCTATATATATATATATATAGATAGATATGTACATATGTATATACACACATGAACATACCGGTGCACAACATGCACACACATGCCGTACCGTACCATACCATACTACATGCATTGCAAACAGTACATACCTGTCGTGCATTACTAGTACATACAAGACATACATGCCACAAGTGCCAGGCGGTACGTTACGGTACATACGTTGCATGCTTGCCTACATGCAGTACAACATGCATTACATTCAGTCGCTATGCAAACCATACATACCATGCAAAACGTACCGACCGTCCAAACCATAGACCACACATGCATCTCTATACATTACCTACAAACCATACAAGCCATCCATGCCATACTCGCCATAAGCACCATACGTACCGCACATACTACATACATGCCTACCAAGCTGGCCACCTACCTGCCTACCTACGGCCGACGGACCTGCATAGCTGCATGGGTACATACATGCATGTGTTTACGCGCCTTCATACATACTCACATACATGCACAGGTCCATAACTACATTTCCATGCAGGCACGTATGTGTATAGATGTATAGATGTATGTATGTATATATATATATATATATATGCATATCTATATATATATATATATATATATATATATATACAGAGAGAGAGAGAGAGAGAGAGAGAGAGAGAGAGAGAGAGAGAGAGAGAGAGAGAGAGATAGATAGATAGAGAGCTACCAGCCCGGGCCAAGCAGCCCGAAGGCTGCACCGAAGCTGCGAAACTGAAAGACACGCTCCAAGCCTTGGGCCGGGTTTTCGCGAAATGATGAGGTTCTGCGCATTGGACACGGTGTACGGGTTGGGGCAGAGGGGTGTGGGGCTTGGGGAAGCATCCGGATTTCGGATTTACGGCTTCTAAACCCGTAGGAGCAGCTGAAGAGTTTGCAGAGGTCGGCTTCAGAGTGTGAGGGCTCAAGGGGTGGAGACTGGCAAGCGCAAATTAGCGGCCCGAAGGCTTCTGCCACAAAACAAAAACCAGCCAACAAGAGAAGGCGAAAGGGGTCTTCAGACCAAACGACTGAGGGACATTGCCTTTCGTGCCTTGGGTTCTGTGTCGGAGATGCCTTTTTTCTGCAAAGCATCTGCCTCGGGCGGTTTCTGAACTCCCGGGGGATACTTCTGGGCCTACCTACCGCTGGGGAGAAAACCAACATCTGAAACTAAATTATTTGCGCTATCAGGAAAGACCCATGCTTCAAAGCAGTCCAAAAGCAGGTCAGACACAGCCTACCTGCGCTGAGGGAAATTTACTGATACACAGGCAGCAACACTTCTGGCTCCTCATCCTCCAATCCCCATGTACCATGGGCCCTAAACCTAAAATCCCTAAACCCATAACCCCTAAACCCATAACCCCTAAACCCCAAACCACCACTGCAGGGCCCTCGAATTGCCCTCCGGGCCCCGCGCGCTCGGGGCTTCCTGCCGGAGCCGCCCTGGCAAGGATGGCGTTGAGGAAGAAGGCACAACTGTACATACAGCAGAAAGTAAACACGCATGTGTGCATACAGCTGTACAAACCCCCTGGCCGGCATAAGTGTTCCATGTGGACGGTCATGGTCCAACCATCTTTATCGCATCGTCAAGACGGCGCATGGTTGCAAATCCAACCAGCAAAGGGAAGCACGCCCTGAACAATCGTCTGAAACGCTTCTATGCTTCCCGCTTAACACCCGCATGATTGTCTGTACTGCACCAGCTCCCTGAGTTCCAGGGGTCGGGATACGTGAGCTCGTGCAAGTTTACTGTATCAACGGTTTTGCTGCCCTGTAGTCCACCATGCTTACAAACCTCACTCCAAGTACAAAAACCTTGCTACTTCGAGCCGAAGCACTTACCCACACTTTCACACCCAACAAATCCCGAAACCCCGACCCTGGGCTCAGAAGCCTCCAGGATGGGGAGAGCTTGCTCAAGGCTTTGGTGACCTGCGAGCGGCAAGGGAAGCCCGGTCCGGGAGGAGCGTGAGTCATTCAGTGGTTTAGCTTGGGTGGGGGCGGGGGCGGGTTGGGGTCTTGGCAATAAGACGAAGGATGATAGTCATAACAACTATCAGTCTCATCAGTGATAGCTGGTAGTAACTGCGCCGCGGGATTAAGGAGAAGGCTCGCCATAACACTGCACATGCTAGGATCAGCATCTGCGCTTACGAGGAAACACGATCTGGCATGTGGCTCCCACCCAAACCCGACATCTGCTTGCTTGAAGCCTTTCGAAGTTGAAGCCTTTGAGTCGCTAAGCTCGCCTCCTCACCAGTCAGGCGCACGGGCTGTGCGAGGCGCTGCAGGGAGCGGAGCATGGCGAGGCACTGGGACGCCGTAAAAAGCCCCCTGGGAGATGTCGGGGCAAAGGCTTTGTGTCATTGAAATGCGGTGATTACTTTGTCCGGCTTTGAGCCCCAACGCTCGTCCATGTGTGCCTCGCCTCCAAGCCATGACCAGACACAACTCAACGAAGATGGAGATGGATCATAGAAACTCTGCTTCCGCTGCTTGCTTGCAAAAGTGGAGACCCGAAGAAAGCTGCCCGTTGCACCTTCGCACTGCAGCTCTGTCCACTTCATCTGTTCAATCTCGAGCAGGTGAAGGTCGCCATACGCCTGCCACTTGGGGCTCTTTAGGTGCTCCGAAGGCTTCGGACTCACATTAGTACTTGTATCAGTATTAGCAATATCAATACTAGTAGCAATATTCATAGCAATCGGGTTACGCATAAAAGCTCAATCCGGGACTCTCGATGCGTGTCAGCACTTGGTGTCCGGTACTAGGGTCGCATCTACTGGTGCCCTCAAATTGCAAGGGGAGTCCTCTAGTTAGTTACCCCCAGAAATACACATTAATAAGCACGGAGCCTCTCTCAATGCAAAGCTGCGCCCTAAACAGCCTCGACCCTGAGCCCGGCATCTCAAGAACATGGATGAATAAGCAACCATGCAGGCCTTCTTGTCATCGCATCCACCATGAAGGTACCTGGAGATCATGTCTTTGCCAGAACTCAATGCAGTTTTGCTCTTCCAGCCTTCCGTGGGCCCATGTTTGACATCTAATCTCCGAGTCTCATGAGCCCTGACCTTTTCACTCCTATTCCTCAGCTGGAACTACATGCAAATTCATCATGTGAGTGATTGCGAGTGCATGACGGATCGCGACCAATGAACACTGTCGCAGAGTTGCATTCTTCCTGGCCCCACCCTGTCCTGTGCATTACAGCGGCAGGGTCCTGCTTAACAAGGAGCCTCGATACGGTTGGATCATGTGGTGCAGGATTGTGGGAAGGCTGCTGAGGACTGGGCTCGTGGAGAGGCTTTAATTGCGGCTTCCCAATGTGCGGAACTCACAACACACCCTGGAAGCCCCACTCGATTCTGGGTCCAGGCATACAGCTTACCGAAGCAGGGCAGTTTTAGAGCGACATGGCAGCAGACTCGGTAATTGCTTTTGGACATACTGCCAGAATCACATCTTGGGGCACATTCTCGTGTTCATGGTGACCTCGGCACAGCAGTTTGTACGACAATAGTCTAGGAACCCTATAGTGTATCTGATGACACCCATTGCACTCCCGGCAAAAGACGACGACGACGAGTGTATCTGATGACAAGGGCGTGGGATACATGAGTATTGCTCTACAGATCATACTTGAGTTTGTCAGCAACCATATAAGTTGTCAGGCAGTGCGATCTCCCTTGAGACATGGGCCTGGAAGATCCGGTGGAAGCACATGGGTGTTAGATCGTTCCGGTCAAGACGCGAATCTGCTGCCAACGTAACACAGGGAAGGGGGCCAGGGAAGGACCAGGTTTCGGCAAGGCATCTTCGCCATGTTGAATCCCCAGAGCTTCTTGCAGAAAAGTCTTGGATAAAGAACTAAAGCGTTTCACACGAAAAAACCGTGCGTGTTGTCATGCGCCAGCAAACTGAACGTTCACTTGACTTGTTCATAGCTGAACCTGCGATCACCTGTACCCGGAGCCGAAGGAGGCACTGCCCCTTGTGTCGCGTGACCACAAGAGACTACGCGAGCGCAGCGAAACACTCGGACCCACATTTTACAGGTTAACGAGTTCGGCATGTGGCCGTCGACCCATGCGTTGCGAAATTGCTTGGAGGATTGGTGCATGATGGCTACATGGGAAGTTAAGAAATCAGGTTCTCCCTTTACATTGCCTTCTCCTCATTTGGCATCCAGCACCCCAAGCTGTGCGAATCCGCGAGATAAGCCGCAGGCCGTCTGCGCGGCACATCGGGCGGTGGGGATGTCCTAAGTCTCACGGCAGCTGATGCACCAGGGCACTACCAGGGCGAAAGCATCCAAGACTTCGCTGAGTGAACATTTCGGGAGGTTTAGCGCTAGAGTATTGAGACTGAGTGCGCGCAGCAGCCGCTTGGTTCTCAACGGTTCACATGCCCGAGTTGTCTGGGCGCCCAGGAAGGATGGTTGTCTCTTGCCGTCACCACTCGGACCCGCATACAACCAAACCCAATTGAATCACAACCATGCACGTAACATCTGAGATCACAACCCCATGCTGCTTCAGGTCGCACACTGACAGCACCTGGGTTTCGGGGCTGGAGCGTCGATTGCAACGGCCGCTCGCGGCTGTGCTTGGGATGTTTAGCTACCCGTTTACCTTACATAAATAATTTATATACAAAACATAACCAATTTAAAATGTGCGTACATATACGTATGATTGAAACTCGCGTGCTTGCTAAATACATAAACATGCATACATGCAAGTGGCATCCTGCTCTACAGCCGGCTAAGAAACCAGGGGTACACACCTGCAGCTTCTGGAAAGGGGCCCTGGCCAAATTTCGCACGGGATGTTCATTCTCCTGGTCGTCTTCCATGTCGCCTAGCACAGGGTTTTGCACATCCACCCTTTTGAAGCGACTCTGTGCCACAAGTACTGAACCCTCGGCCGTAAGGCCTCATATTCGACCTCAGCTCAATTTTTAGACGTCTTGGCGTGCCTTATTCGGAATCAATGCTGGTGCCAACCTTCTCTACGCAGTCCCCCTAAGCCCTAAACCAAAAGCTTGTATTCATCGGCTATTCCGGGGAAATCTCCATCCCTGATTCATGATTGAAACACTCTGCCCAGTTAGACTTCCTGCATCATTCTTGCACTCTACTGTATGACATCAAGACGTGCCTCATTATCGTTGTATAGTCATATGCCTTTGCGCTTGGTGCTTGACTGTGATGCATCCAGAACGATCGTTGGGTATGGCCATCCTATGGCAACCTGCCTGGCTTCTTGCCTGCCTGCCTGTATGCTTGCATACTACATGCCTATACGTACGCTCATCAACACACACACACACACACACTTGACACATCGTGTCGCAGGTCTGATCTGTCGGTGCATACTGTCAGGGAAAGTCAGCAGCTGTCAGGGAAAGTCAGAAGCTGCAAGGGAAAGTCAGAACATGCAATCAGAAGCTCGTACGAATCTTGCTCTAGGGTTACTGATTTGCAGGTACGTTTGCACCCCTCCCTGGGGGTGTCTTCGTTGGCCGGTGACCCCCAGGGAGAGCACCGGCCCCCTGCTGCCTAACTCACTCACGTCTCTTGGAAACAGAGTTGGACACACACAAGCCCCGAAGGGCTCCGTGGAGTGTTGATGGTCGTTGCGCGCTGTTCTTCTCACCGATTTTTTCATCAAAACGTCTTGTCCTTGGGAGATTCGCTTACAACGATAGCGTTCCTCAGCGACATGAACATAGCACACTTGAAGAACGCGCCTGCAACGCAGTAAGGCAGGGAGATGCGCACTCCGACAGCATGTAGGCATGCACTCACTCACCGATTTTTATGCTGTGAACCAATAGCATGAAGTTGCCACAGCTCACTTGACAAATCATTCTCAGTCAGCGCACATTCCACTGAACATGTCACAGGCTCATTCACCGCACGTGTCACTGGAACATAGCTGAATGTCAAAAACTTTGCATGATGTACATGCCACTGGAACATGTCGCCACCGGAACCGTTGAGTGTCACAGACTCATTCACTGCACATGCCACTGGAACATGTCGCACATGCCCTGGAACATGTCACAGACTCATTCACGGCACATGCTCTTCAGAAACACTCTCTAAAATACTGAAGCCAGACAACAGGCCCTCGCCCCTGCTCGTTCGATTCAGATTTGCATACCCGTTGAAACAGGGTTGGACACACACAAGCCCTGCCGGGCACATTGTAGCCGCTCGAAACACCGGTTGACATACAAATGCCAGCGCCTGAAAGCGGAAAATCTACGAAACCGCAGAGTCTACGCATGCCAACATAGGCGAACCACATTCATGTCAGAGAGTCTATGCATTCCAATACAAGCAACCCGCACTCATGTCACAAAACTGCGGAGTCTACGCATTCCAACATAGGCGAACCGCACTCATGTCACGAAACTGAAGTCTACGCATTCCAACATAGGCAAACCGCACTCATGTCACGCGTCAGTTAGATGCACATGCAACTGGCACATAGCAGACTCATTCATGGCACATGCCACTGGAACATAGCTGAACGTCACACACTGCGCATGACGCACATGCCACTGGAACCTAGCTGAATATCACAAACTGTGCATGACGCACATGCCACTGGAACATGTCGCAGACTCCTTCACCGGACGTGCCACTGGAACATAGCTGGATGTCACAGACTGTGCATGACGGTAGCACTCACTTGACACAATGTGTCACAGGTCTCAAGTCAGCTCGAGAAGCCAGCTTGATAAGTCAGCTCAGAGATTTCAAGTTCTAGGTTACGGAACTCCAGGCGCATCGCAAGACAGATGACTGAAAGCATACAAACCGTCACTCTAGGTTACGGGTCTCCAGGCTCATTGCAAGACAGATGACTGAAAGCGCGCAAGCTGTCACTCTAGGTTACAGGTCTCCAGGCCCATTGCAAGACAGATGACTGAAAGCGCTTGCAAGATCACCTCTGAAGTCATGCAGATTGGGGCAACCATGCAAAAACAAGGAGCATTTAGTTTGTCACCTGAACCTGAGAAAAACCTGGTTTTGTCCACACAACACAAACTAGGGGCACGCCAGCTGTGTACGCAGACACCCAGGTCGCTGGACACACACAAGCCCTATCGGGCTCACTAATTCTCACAACAGGCACTCGGACTTCATCTCAGACACTTGCTCTGCTAAGCAAAGCTGAACAGGTGCAAGCGCTCATGTGTTGCTGTTGAAGCATTGCGGGCAATCAGTAATACTGACGACACTGCAGAGTCTATGCATTCCAACACAGGCGAACCACACTCATGCCAGAGAATCTACGCATTCCAACATAGGCAAACCGCACTAAAGTCACGAAACCGAAAGGTCTACGCATTCCAACCTAGGCGAACCGCACTCATGTCGCACGAAACTGAAGTTTACGCATTCCAACATGGGCGAACCGCACTCATGTCACGACACTGACTGCGTTCCAACATAGGCGAACCGCACTAAAATCACAAAACCGAAAGGTCTACGCATTCCAACATAGGCGAACCGCACTCATGTCACAAAGCTGCAGAGTCAGAGTCTATGGATTGTTGTCGTCGTTGTCATCAAATGATTTGATTAGACGACTGCGAACAAGAAGAGTTACAGAGACAGGCTCGAAGAAATGACGGAGAAAGTGCATGACAATATGCACTCACTTACCCAGATCGCCACCAGACCACCAGAAACCAAAGCGTATTCCGCGGACGTCCTTTGCACATCACTTGCATATCCCCTGCACATCACTTGCACGTCCCTTGCTGCACGTCGATCATGTTCTTGGTCCGACACTGCAAAGTCTGACGAGAAGTCGGACGAGTGCACGTCCGATACAGAGACAGCATCGCTCTCAAAGCTGGACACCGACATAATTTGAAGCTACCTGTACGTTACAAGTCTTTTTAGACCTGGAGAGTGCCTTGAGGACATGAATCAAAACAGTGTCTGCAAACATTCACAACACATGCTGCCAGCAGATCACTTGCATAACCCTTGCACATCCCTTGCACATCACTTGCGCGTTCCTTGCACATCCCTTGCAATACACTTGCAGCAGCACTGGCAAACAGACTCTTCTTTGCAACTGCAGAAAGTCTACGAGACTGCAGAGTCTATGCGTTCCAACATAGGCGAACCACACTCATGTCAGAGAGTCTACGCATTCCAACATAAGCAAACCGCACTCATGTCACAAATCTGCAGAGTCTACGCATTCCAACATCGGCGAACCGCACTCACGTCACGAAACTGCAGACTCTACGCATTCCAACATCGGCGAACCGCACTCATGTCACGAAACTGCAGAATCTACGCATTCCAACATAGGCGAACCACACTCATGTCAGAGAGTCTACGCCCTACGCATTCCAACATAGGCAAACCACACTCATGTCACCAGCTGCAGAGACTACGCGTTCCAACATCGGCGAACCACACTCATGTCACGAAACTGCAGAGTCTACGCATTCCAACATCGGCAAACCGCACTCATATGTCACGAAACTGCAGAGTCTACGCATTCCAACATAGGCGAACCGCACTGATGACACAACACTGAAGTCTACGCATTCCAACATTGGCGAGCCGCACTCATGTCACGAAACTGCAGAGTCTGAGACGCTTGTAGAGCCAATATACAGCATCGTGCTGGGCTTTCTTATTGTTCAAAACCGAGGATGCAAAGCAATTGGGCATCCACCATCACTCTACAGAAAGTCCATGCACAGGAGACTGCAATCAATGACCTCGTCTGCCATTACAAAACGAGTATGCGCTCACACTTGCTGCACGGCAAACCTGCACTGCTAGACTCTCCGTTATGTCATTCAATCGGATAGGGCTGCATGGCAGGAATACTCTCAGCAATCATTTCCAGCAGCGTCTCAAAGCAGATAGTCTACGAAACTGCAGAGTCTATGCGCTCCACCATAGGCGAACCACACTCATGTCAGAGAGTCTACGCATTCCAACATAAGCAAACCACACTCATGTCGCAAATCTGCAGAGTCTACGCATTCCAACATCGGCGAACCGCACTCATGTCACGAAACTGCAGAATCTACGCATTCCAACATCGGAGAACTGCACTCATGTCACGAAACTGCAGAGTCTACGCATTCCAACATCGGCGAACCGCACTCATGTGTCACGAAACTGCAGAGTCTACGCGTTCCAACATAGGCGAACTGCACCGATGACACGAAACTGAAGTCTACGCATTCCAACATAGGCGAGCCGCACTCCTGTCACGAAACTGCAGAGTCTACGCATTCCAACATATGCAAACCGCACTCATGTCACGAAACTGCAGAGTTTACGCATTGCAACATATGCAAACCGCACTCATGTCGCGAAACTGCAGTGTACGAGTCGCACAAGCAAGCAAAACCATGTACTGAACCAATCACTCCAGCTTGGTCGGACACTGCAAAGTCTGACGAAAAGTCGGACGAGTGCCCCCTGCTCATTCGACTCAGATTTACCTACCCTTCGAAACAGGGGTGGACACACACACAAGCCCTCCCGGGCTCATTGCTCTTTCGAACTTACTGACAGGAAGCACTCACGTACATAGCACATGCATGACGATGCAATCACTTGCACAGCACTTGCATGACAATGCGCACTCACTTGTCCAGATCGCCACCAGACCACCAGAAACCAAAGCTCCACCACCAGCAGCTCCAATGCTCCACCGAGCCACCAGAAACCACAGCTCGTTCCACCAGCTTCGCTTCTGTTCAACCAAAACGCTACAAGCAAGCGATGCAGTAAGGCAGAGAGATGCGCACTCCGAAAGCATGTAGGCATGCACTCACTCACCAAGGAAGAAAAA